TAACATGCTCTCTCCAAGCTACCACAATGACAACGTGAAAATACAGAAAAGAAACAATAAACTGAATTTTGATAGAAATGTGTTCAAAACCTGAAGTTTGCTAAAGCATCAGACAGTATCTGTGAGCATTCAGCTAATTGCAAGTTTCTTGGTATAAAGAGCTGCCAGCTGGAAGATTCAGCTATGTCCCATGCACTCAATAACAAACAGACTTATAATTTTTAATTACTCACAGTATGATCTTCTTTGAACTGTTAATAACAGGAAGAATAGTCGTTCCACCCAAAAGACACTCCATCTTAAATCACTGTTACCCTTGATTGAAGGTAAATGAAAATGCATCTCTTTATCTGCAGCCCTAGCCATTTAAGGGAGAAATTTAACTGCCCAAATGCAGGCACCTTAGAGCCCTGAATGATGTCCTAGAGAAGTCTCCAGCCTTATAGGAGTGGAACACTTTCTGGAGCAACAGAAAGGATGTCCTTTACCCTCAGAATGACCCGCTGACCATGGAGCTGAATCCCAGGACTACTTTGGTGCCTCTGAATTCCAAGCTAAAAGAATAATTACTCCACTAAACCAGATACTCTGGTTAAACTTGTCAGTTATTCTGGTTTAAACAAAACCATTTCACAAGTGCTAAATTCAAAGAGACTTCTTTTTCTTCCTTAAAAAACTGGCTCATTGGGAAAAGTTAGAAATAAAATGCTCATCCAGAGATGCATTTTTGGTTTTGTCTTATTACTGGAAACATGTGGTGCCAAATTAAGCTCCCAGTTAAACAACTGGAGACTGCAGTGAATGTGCTTGTATCCACTGAGCCAGAGCAGTTAGATCTGTGGAACAGCAGTGAGTGTGCAATTCCCAATATTCCCACTGGTGATACTAGATGTCTTCCTGAGTCAGCAAAACCCAATTTGTATGACCTGACCATGATCCTGTTTCCCAAGCCTGGGTTAGCACTACATCACAACCTTTCTGTTTAAGCACTGGGGCTGAAGAATGCTTCTCCTTGTCTCCGCTGTATACAGCAGCATCAAAACTTGTACAGAAAACCCACCAAGCCCAGAACTTTCCACTTCTAAGACACCACACTCCCCTTAAAGTACACAAAACTCTGCACAAGCTTTCTGCAGCTATAAATGAAGCCACTGCTTGTATCCTTTGAAAAAACAACTCCTGATTTTCACTGTCAAGCCCCTTTCTTTGAGAAATGCAAAGGGGAGAGGCTGCCAGGCTCTCCCAGCAATGATCTGGGAGTAGATCTTACCAGACAATGCTGCTTATGGCAGGGGAGGGATGGTGACACGAGCCCTCCACAACATTCCTCGAATATGATTGTTTTACCAAGTCCCTCAGCAGAGAAGTTGCATGTTCAGACTTCTTCCCTGAAGGATATGGTTAAGAAGCCAATTGTTCTGACCTCAGAAATCCTCAATATTTTCTTTATATTGTTTTCTTCTCACAACACAACAGAAGCAAATTGCTGCAGAGGGAAGACCATTTATTTCCATGAAGAATAGGGAAGAACATGTGTATGAATAAAACTTTAGAAACTGCACTGCATAAAACAAATTGTATGGGTCCAAGATGTTCATGCTTCAAGGCAGAGTGCAACCACTAACCAGTAAGCATCAGAAAACCTCCTGAGCATCATTCTCAAACCCTGGTCGCTACATGCCGCAACCTGTGAACACATCTGGCAACCAACACTGCTATTTGTCCTTATGCTTTCTTATAAAACTACTATAAAATTACTCCAACCACAACCCTAAATCAGGTTTGTCAGCTCTTACTCTGTAACAGCAATCATACCTGCTGTGCATTTTCAAGTCATTTCAGCTGTTATGGAAGCCCCATTGCTGCAAATCAGAAAGTGACATAAACACATTCAGCTGCTAGAGATTTATAGCTGTTTGAATAAATATGCCGCAAATCCTGTTCCTTTGTTTTAGTCTTATTATAAAACAAGACTTAAAACATATGCTCACAAAGCTGTTCAGTGTACCATCTACCCCACGAGGCTATTGGAAGTTTGCATTTTGAAACACAGCAGAAATTCTCAAATTTATCTGGCATAAATTGTATTTTTGGAGCCTGGAATGGGCAGTGACCACTGCACAGGACTCAGAGGCACCTTGGTTTGCAGCTTGGCTCATCCTAACCAAAACTATCTGGCTTGTGGTCTTTATTTTCACTCTAACTGCTTAGCCACCTCAGTACATTCTTTCTTAATTAGCACCACTCTACACCATTCAGTGATTACAAACTGTACTGAAAACATCCAATGGATCTTTTGTTCTCCCCTTCACTTTGTTATCTTGGCCAAGGAAAGTGCAATTGAAGCCTTCATAGAATATTGTTTTAAGTTGCAAACAAGATTAGAAGAGACACAGCACGGAACTGATCAGGCTTTTACTTCATTTGAACTTCACACATATCATCTCTACCTTTTTCTTTCCCCCCTTAGCTGATTGCCCAAGGTATGATTGTGAAATACCAAAATGCAATAACTGGATGTCATCATGTCACTGAGCAGCTTTCCAAATGTTAGGCTGGACTTACTGCCTGCCTTATTATGTCTTACAGATACTTCTGTTTGTTGTTACCCTTGTTTATACCATCTGTATTATTGATTCTGATTTTGCTATGTAATCCAGTGCAGGTCTAGCTTACAGCTATTTAACTCGGCAAATTGCTGAACTTTCCCCCTATTAATATTTAATAGCATTATTCTACTGAGTTAAATGGTACTGTATAAGCTTCAATTACATCTGTACTTGTTTCCTTTCACTACATTGCCCTAATCAATTTTTACAAGTAATTAAATCCCTCACCAAGCCTGAAACTCTAGGACTGCACTGTACAGAGCAGTTCCATTCCTCAGCTTTAAAAACTTAGAAGACATCACTTTCATGCAGATTTTTATTCATTTTCTAAATTAATTCCAAAACTTTTTTTTTTTTTTTGGGGGGGGGAGGGTGTCAAATTTGTTGTAATTATCTTTTACATAAACTTATTATGTCTTACAGATACTTCTGTTTGTTGTTACCCTTTTACATAAACTTCTGAACAAATATAATCCTCCCCTCCACGTGCATCCTGGACTAATTCTAGTTGGTTTGAACCATAAGCAAAACACCATTTGATTGCAAAACATACATTTTAGAATTAAAAGACAAATGAAAACAGATATTGTCTACTTAAAAACGGTAACTCTCCACTTTGTATTACAGTGCCTATCAGTAACTATGAAAAATATTTTTGCCAATATATTTATTCCCTTGCAGCCTTTACTAACCAATGAATTTCTCTTTTCAGTGTGGGTTTTTCATGCTGCAGAGTGAATGAAACCATTTCATAATTTTTAAGGAAATAAAAAATAGTGGGATTCAAACTAGGATGTCCTGGCATAATTTTAAGGTTTGGTGGTTTTTAACCCAGGGAAAGAAAAGACAGTGTAACTTTCTTGATTGAAGCTGCAGTCTTGGGTTGTCATTTCCTGTGTGTAAGACTTCAGCCTCCTCAACTATTTGGTTATCCCCTAAAACATCTCTTACTGACTCTATTATATCAGTCACTGAAGGCTGATCTAAACAGTTTCAGTTCTTCTTTCAATTCTTCTGAAAAACCTAGCTGTTATTGCTAGTCTGGATTTTCCTTTTATGTAACTGAAGTTTTAAAAACTGACTGGCTTTTACAGCATCCCTCTAGCAGAGATGAGAGCAAAACTTACTCTTTGGAAAAGAAGGAATTATTTGCTCTCATTAGCATCACTATTTACTCCTCTCTGACAGAACTGCATGGTTAACCCGAGATAGTCAGTACCACTCCAAATGTATTGGTGTCTCTGGATGTAATTTTCAAAGAAAAGACCAGAGGAAGGGGTCAGGAAACAGCATTATTGCCATTTTGCAGCACAAATGGGTAACCACTGTAACACAGATGTTACCAATGTTTCAATGAGAATGTGCAGCTCCTGAATTATATCCTGAAGCTTTTTTGCCACAGCTTTAAGGTCCAGAATCCCCTTATATAACTGACATTCCTGTGAGGGGCCTTGACTACATGAACATTTGTTTGGTTTAAGTCTTCTGTAGTCAGTGGAGATGAACAAGCTCCATCAGGGGATGCCTCAGGCAAGGGTAAAACCAGGCTTAAGTAATTGTTTTTAAAGCCTTTTCAATTAGGATGCTGCTACTAATGGGTAGGTACAAAGGAGTCTTGAGGAACCTGGTCTAGTGTGAGGCACCCCTGCCCATGGCCAGGAAGTTGGAATGATCTTAAGGTCCTTTCCAACACAAACCATTCTATAATTCTATGATGCTTAAAGGCCATGTAGTGTTAGGCAGTTGACTTAGAAATTAAGCATGGAAGCATGACTGTCTCCCAAAATACTCTGCAGAAACATACCTCTCATGAGATTATTCTATTAATTGTTTTCTAAATTCAAAAGAACACGCTCTTGTAACAGCAACAAAACGCTGGAGCAGATAACATGGAGCTTTCCCTTGCTGTAGCTGGGGACAATACAAAAGATGAAAGAGATGGCAAAAAAATTCTTAAGAAAAATTCTTAAGAAGCAAGAAGGGAAATTTTTTTGAAGGCCTCAAGCAGACCCACTGTATAATGCAAACATGAAGACAACAGAAAACACTGCCTCTGCTGCGGGACAGAACTGACAATATCAATCTGAAGGAGAAGTTGTGTAGTTTTCCTCTCTAAAAGGATTTGTATCAGGCCTAATACCCCAAGAAAGATGCACTTCCCTCCACCAAAGCAGAGCACTTACAAGTGTACACATCGCAGTGTGATGTTGTAACTCCCAATTCCTAGGACCATAGAATCACAGAATAGTTAGTGTTGGAAAGTACCACAAAGACACTGCTTCACTTCAGCCAAACTGGGGGAGGAGCATTTTTTGGAAGCATAGCCAAGAATCCAGTCTATCTAGCCAAATTTATTATCATTCATACATTTATTTCTGTACATTTTCTTACCTTACATTCTGAACCGAGGGATTTAACGGTTCATCCGGAACATGACTGGTTGCAGGTGCCTGTTCTTCTGTGATGGGCTGCAATGGCTGCATTACTTGAACTGTCCGAAAAAGCTGAGTGTGTTGCACTGGCTGTGGTGACTGTGTTGTCCTTGAAACTTCTGAAGTGGAGCTGGATGTCTGCTGCTGTGCAACTTCTACTTGCTCCTTCAGCTTCACAGGCTTTGAATTCCCTGGTTTTACCACGGTGGTTGATCCTCCCTTTGTTCCTGCATTTGCAGATGCTCTAGATCTGCTCGACTGGTTTCTGCTGGCCACAGCAGTTGGGAGCAGAGTTGAATCTGATGATTCAGTGCTAGGACTAGCATCTTCATCATCTATATAGATGAGATCTTTTGGCATTTCTTTAAATTGATATACTAGGCGCTGACCTTCCACTTTAGCCAGTATTCCTCTTTGGTAATAGTATCTGTTTAAAGCATACACGCATCAAAGTTATACACTGTTTTTTGCCAAACCCCAAACAGCAACAGAATAGGCAGCAAACCCCCCAGAAAATAAGACCAGCAGTAACAACTAAACAATATTTTAAGTGCCTAGTTTCTTCATTACAAAGGAATGGCCAATTTAATTGTGCTTTTTTTTTTTCCTCAAACAATATTTTTACTGGTATTTCTTGTCGCCTTTTAATTTCAACCTCAGATAACTCTGAGGAGAAAGAGAAAAATTACGTGACTTGGCACCTCTGCTATCAACTCCTACTCTTTAAAAGTTGCATGAAACTTGCAATTCTCCTCTGGACTCATACAGTTCTTTCAGTTACCTGAATTCAAGCTTATTCACCAGTCAGCACAGGCAGACATTTCAGCTACAACAAAGCAAAGGGAATAGGACAGGAGAGCTCTACCTGAGTTTTATTTACAAATTAACATGACAATTTTAAATTGTACACACTGAGGTGAAGAGAGTACTAACTCTTCTGTCCTTACAAATTAGATGCGGCATTTAATGCATGCAAACACTAAGGCACCAGAAGCAGTCATTACTGAAAATGCACGTACCTGAGAGCTCTACCCATTGTTTCATAATTCATGTCAGGTTTGTTTTTATGTTTTCCCCACAACCTGGACACAGCCTTGGAATCAACCAGTTTGAAAATGCCCTTCTCTCTTTGAGTCCATTTGATATATTTAGGACATGTAGCTTTGTCCTGGAGCAGTGCTAGTAAAAACTCCCAGAGATAAATTGTATTTCCTAAAATGAAAGTATTTCAGGACAGGGAATTAAAAAAAAAAAAAAAGAAAAAAGAAACATTAGTTGACTATATTTTATTATGTATCACATATTACATTATTATGTAAATAATCTAAAAAAAAAAAAGGAAGCTGATATATTTCTAAATAGGCTGTCATACATCATCAAGATACCATCAGGACTAGGAAACAGTGATAAAAGGGCATGGGAAGGAATTCTTGTTATTATAATCTGGGTGCCCTAACACACTAGCAATGGTCTAACCTACAGAGTCAGGTACCAAGTCAGCCTACAGTCAGTCTCGTTCCAATCACCAATGTCAGACAGTATTAGTCACCTACATGTACAGTTCCCTCCTGCTTAATCCAGAAGCAGCCACTACTGCTTTACCTTAAATGGGAATGTGTTCAGGTCCATCCTCTGAAAATGCTGGAAATTAAGCCCTTGCTTAATTGAAGCAACTTTGTTCACTGAGGTGTTATAATCTTTAAAAGGCTAAAGGAAATCCTTACTTTTAACTATTAGATTTATATGGGGCAATCATATGGGGATTCCAATTGGCCTGGGAGATTCTAATTGGACATAAGAGAACAATCAGCCATTGGAATCATCTCTCCAGGGAAGTGGTGGATTTCTCAACACTGGGCACTGCTAAGGTTTGGCTGGACAAGGTGCTGGCACATCTAGTCTAGGTCATGCTTTGCCTAGAAAGGTTGGATCAGATGATCCTTGAGGTCCCTTCCAAACTGTCACTCTATGATTCCATGACCAGTGGCATATGTTGAGGTTGGCAAACCTCCAAGAATAAGTTTCAAACCCAGATTATTTTCTTTTCTAAACCAGTGAGCACCTGCACTTGCTGGTAGCAAACATTCAAATTTCACTTTACAAACAAGCAGGCACAAACATTTATATATGGAAATGCATCACATCTGCTCGGTGTTTACCACGTATAAAGAAACAGTATTAAAATCACAGAGTATGAATACTTAAAACGAGTACAAAATTTGCATATTCTTTTTTTTTCCCAAAAGCACATTTAAGGAATCTAAACTCATACAACTAATTAGACCCATTTTCCTGCTTTTGTAAACGCTTTTGCTGTTTGATGTTCTTTTGAATACTTGAAGCTGCACATAAGCTTCTTAGTGAAATGCTATTAGTCTGAGAAAGGAAGAAGAAACTTCTTGTATAAAAGTATCATCTCCTACAAGGAGCTGTGCAAAAACACAGCAAGGACAGTGTGTGGAGATTTCTGAAGGTTCACAAGAAGGACGCCAGTGCATCAGAGGGTACAAATTTCCTCTCTGTCAGCTTCAATTTAACCCAGTAGTTTTTTCAACTGTAATAACCACCAGTCTCAACTCTTTTCAATCAGAGGGGTCTTACACATTAAACTACCCATATCCTGCACCATAATCTGTACTCCGCAAATCTTCAGCAAACTCATCAGCATGGCAGTACAAAGAGTTAGCAACTCCTTCAGCAGGTGGGAACTTGAAAAATGAACACCCCTAGAAAAAACACACTGCCTTTGCAGCGTACATCTTCCTGCTTGCATAAAAGGGTCAGCCTGTTTGCCTTTGGATACCCCGAAGGCAAAGGTTAAGACTGTTTAGGCAAGACACAATGTCAGCCAGGAGTGAGAGCATTCCCAGCCATTTACCATCTAATCCAGGGTGCTTTTGCTGCAGTCTAGACTAAAAATGCTCAGCTACATCAAGGCAAGCTGAAAATCTGTCACTGCTTAGCCACTGAAAAACCACCGTGAAGAGGACTGTCTGTGAAAAAAACAGGTCTGCCTTACTCAGGCAGGATTTTTAACCCCCCCCAAGTCACAGTGGTAAAAGAAATACGTAGAAAATTCAGCCTTCTCCATGCCTCACATCAAATAATTCTATGGAGGGCTTGGTACTTTGGCATACATGTTCCCTTTAGGGAAACATTGTGAATACTGAAAGACAGGCAACTCTTACAGTTTTCTAGGTGCTTCCCTGCCATGGCTAGTTATATTAATATCCCTTTTATTTTAATTCTGTGTTCCTCAAAATGCAAACCAAATATTTTTGCTGTAGCTTTTCCATAACAGGCAACAGTTTCAGGCAACATGCTTCTTTTTAATTCCTTCTGAATTAGCAATTTTGTAACAATGGACAAATGTGAAAAATGGTGTAGCCTTGCTATCATCAACAAAAACATTACACTCTTTTCTGCCTTTTAATTTTGTGGCTAGCTGCTTTAATATTCTCTATTATTTCATTTGAGCACTACTGAGAGGTTCCTCTAATACTTTTGTTTCATTTTTACTTAAAAATCTGGTTTGAATTAAAAGCAACAAAACAAAACAGCAATGCGTACTCAGAATTGCATTAACCTGTTAGATATTTACTGCTTGCCAACAGGGTTTTAGTTTTTTTCTGTTACTGCAGAAAATCCCTCTGCAATAGGAAAAAAAAAAAGCCCAAACTCCTTTGTCAGTGTAGTGATTTTTCTGATTCAGGAGAATCTGATGTCTTATGCCACCACCTTCCAAGTTTGGCTGGGCTTCTATCCTGGCATGTACTTCACACACGCAAGCACATCAGCTCTCAGGCATGCATGCAGGCACTTGTGGTGACACAGGGGAGGCATATTTCCAGCTCCTGCCTCTCTGAGCACAGCATAACTCGGTGGGTGCCAGGATGTCAGGCTGCCATTCAGATGGCAGCCCCGGCACAAGTGTGGGTGCTGGACCCCACAGCAAAGCAACCAAGTTGTAGACAAAACTGGCAGGCAGCACTGAACAGTTCAGGCTGGAGGAAATGATTTATTGTATCAGTTATGTGGTATTTATTTTCTTTCTTCCTTTTAAACACAGGAGGAATGAAAGTATCAAACCCCCAAGTTTTCTGCCAAAGTCTTCAAGCTACGTCGTAACTTTCCTCAAAATTCAGGCCTTGGTACTTCTTGCTGCCAACTGGCAGCCTTGATTAGCTCCTCATGCAGAATTAGACACACACAGATGGAAAACATTTCCAAAGATCATCTGTCAAAATAACCACAGCCCAAGAAACACTAATACAATGAAAAGCATGTCCCAAGACTTCACTCAGAATGCAGCAGCCTCTGCAGGGGTTGAAGAGTTTCCGAGAATCCTGACAAATAAATTGACAAGTACATTAGTCTGCCTAGGAACCGGGTACTGCATTAGGAAACCCCATGCCCTCATTATTTACTTGCCTTAAGATGAGATTTTAAACACCCCTGTGCATGAGACCTGGTTTTACACCCCAAGAGTGTGGTTCCTCAGAAACAATGTTCTTTTAAAAACTTCAGGGACGGCTCTTCAACTTACCCTTTCCATCTCTGTTTCTCTTTTTCACACATATGTTTGGAGTTGTAGTAGGAGACTCAGGACGAGGTGGTCTCGACTTCTTCCCTGAAATAAACCACTAGTAAGTCAACTGAAGCTTAAAAACAAAAAAGGGAAATAAAAAAGAACAAGAACCTAAAAAGGGAAGAGATGTGTTTTCCCAATTCAAAGAGGATTCCATTTCTAGTAAGTTAAGAGCTCCATTCTATGCTGAACATCAGTTTCTACAGCAGGATTGGGCCCTGTATGCTCAGTGTACTTCTGGTAAAGATTATGCTCACTTCTCCGAAGTCCATGTCCCTTGGAAATTTCTGTGGCTTTTTAAGTACTCCTAAGAATACTTAAAACCGATGAGTTAGGAAGAATAAGCTGTTAACCGTGAGCAAGAGTTTAAACAGGAAAAACTAGATAAAATACAGAGTACACTCTTGTTCACTCATTAACAACATGGAATTTTGGGATAAAACAAGATTGCTTGTTTCATAGCTTGTAGGTGTCCACTGACAGCAGCAACCCACATTGTCATGTGAAGAAAAGATTTTTCACTTCTTTTGAGAAATGGGTAGAAGACACCTTTCTCAACAGCGGCTACAGGTAAAGTCAGTTGTTTGTTAAAACCAGCAGAACCAGTAACAGGCTCTGAAAAATGCCAGTTTTTAAAATCATAAGCACGGTGCCTGTCTCTGGTGAGGAAGACTGATAGAAAGAAGTTAATTACAACTGATGACAAGAATGAAGAGTATGCATTTAAAAATGTTGAGGAATCAACTACCTAAACATAACTGGAGAAAAAATGTAAGTCATGCCGAAACATTTTTTCAATATAAAACCTTGAACCTATTCCTCCATTAGTTCTCATTCCCTGCAATGGCAGCTTTTACAGGTAATGTAATTAATCAGGAACTTTCAGAGCTTTCTTATGATATAAAAATTTATCAGGTTTTGCAGGTTTTTGTACATTGATAAAACCTAAATTATTCACGTACTATCTTTGCTCTTTTGAGAGGCACAATAGACCAAGCAGACACAGGACTCAGATAAACATATTTCTAATCTAAATAGCATATGGTCAGAATTAAAGATCTAAAGAAAAAACATTTTTCTTTTTCTCTATTTATTGTGTTTTCAAAGAGTTGATGTTCTGAGGCAAGACCAATAGGCCTGTGCAATCCTGTGCACTATGATGTTCCATTTTGGTTTTAGTTTTAGAGACTATCTATCTTAGTAAGGAAATGATTCTGCTGCAGAGAGGCTTTTTTACTATCTCTGAAGAAAATGCTCAGTGCCAGCCTGCGCTGTCTGCTAATTTGACAGAATTCATGACTGAAGACGGGACACAAAGTCCAACGACTGTCTTGGACAGTAATGTCTTCCTTGATTTCAATGAAGATGGGAGGGAGCAAATCCTACCACACTATTCTTCTTTCATATATCACCATATGAAAGGATAAGAAACTAGTACGTTTTTAGCAGCTTTGTTCCACTCACTAGTACTGATTGTGGACATGTCTGGTTTCTCTACAATGTCTAGATGAAGTCACTCTTGTATAGATCAGCTTCTGCTGAACAATTAGTCCCTCAGGGTAACTTTGGTTAAGCAGTTTTCTCCCCTCAGACAGGTGTCACTGGAAGACTCATCATGTTTCCCCTCTTGCACGGGTGTAAATGTATGTCATTAAGGAGTGGAGAGTGTTATTTTGATGTCATTAATTACCTTGTGTCTAAATAAGATCAGATCTTAAAAGAAGTGGATAAGGGCTCAACTAGCTCATGAATAAGTACTGATCACATATACTTTATGCATTTCTGATTAGGGATAACCTAGGCTGCTAACATGAATATTACTCCAGCAATTCCAGGCTTTCTCATTTCAGCCTACATTACTTCAGGACATCCCATTTGGACAATTCTCTACCAGAAACCCATAGAAAATCAGAAATCAGCAAAGACCGTGAAACTCATTTACAGAAAGGTATTGATGTTACTGCTCCTTATCTGAGCTAGAGGTACTTAAGATGATGGCTTTAAATTGGAGCTATAATCTCCAGCTGCTGACACCATCAAAACCACAGTGAACAGAGACACACAAGATACAGTTTCCTTTGTTTAAAAGAAGATACTTTCTGAAAGCACATTAAGCATTAGCACACTTCCTCCTTTGGTTGGGCAGAGCATGACTTTGTTACCTTTCAAACTACATCACTAAATTCCTTTTTAGAAGAGACTTTTACAAAGAGGAAGGGTAAGTACACATGCAACGGTCAAGCCTGAAGGTGGGACTACTGCAATTTTTATATAGCCAAATTAATTTATAATTGGTATTTCCACTTTCCTATTTCCATGGGTGCAAAAACACGTCAAGTTAGAAATTCATGCTACAACTTAATGTGATATGTAGACAGTGAGATGCTCACCCTGATTAAGTATTTTATACCACACCAGAAAAAGTTCAATGCCTTTTCTTGAACTGTTTTCAGTGGGGTTTGTTAAGAAAAAGAGAGAAAAAAAAATATTTAAACCCCTAATGAACAGTGTATACCTAAATATAATGTCTACATAACTTTTGTGACCACCTACTGCCAGGTGCCTTCCATAGCAAAAATGGGACTAAAGGTATTAACACAGCAAATTTCCAAGCTGCTTCTTCTGGCATCGCTCTGTTTATCCTCTCTTTCTGCCCTGTAGTTCAGCAGCTCAGTGCTCAGACATTCAGGAGTGCAAACATCACTCTGAACATGGGTTTGGAGTGGCACAGATGGGTGGATACAGCTCTCCTGCTGCAGCAGTAAGGCCACAAGGAAAGGAAGTGAAATCACCCTGTCACTTCTAGAGAACATTTTCTTGGAGGAGCTCTACTTGGCAACGCCATTCTGGCTCACTTAGCTGGCAACACTCTGCACAGTGCAACCTTGTAAGTTTAGCTGATGGGTTATATTATGCTAGAAGTCTATAAAATCATGAGTGGTATGGATAGGGCTAAATGACTGGGGTCCTTCACTGTGCCACAAAACTGATGGAAGGAAGGGAAAGAGACTGCACTTATGAAAATAAGAAGAAAATAAACAACCAACCAAAAGAACCTCACCCACACACTGCACGTCATCCTAAAAAGCACTACAAAAACCAATAACATTTTGCAGCAACTGTTGGCACACCAGCGTCTTACAAATCCCCGGACATTCTGAAGTAACACTTCAACATCACTCAGACCGTACCATCTACCTCATGAAGTCTCAGCTTTGGTGACTAGTTGTTACTGAAACACTAAGCTGATGCATCTCTTCTAGTATATTTTCTATCTGATGTAACTGTCAAAAAGAAACACACACATTTGCTGTGAAGCAACCAGTTTTCTAACCTACAGCTAGGGAGGAGGAAGGAGTGGGAGAAAGCAAAAGCACAACACAAAAGAGGGTATGAAAGCATCAAGCCAAAGAGGTTAAATATGTGGCAGCAGCTGCTTGTTTAGTGGGGGACTTGGCAGTCCTGGGGTTAAGGTTGAATTTGATGATCTTAAAGGTCTTTTCCAACCTAGCTGATTCTGTGATTAAAAAGAATAAGAAAAACCCAAAAGAACAGTTTAAAACCCTATTACAGTGGTTATCTCACAGTACCGCAAACAGCACAGCAGCTTCCCCAGCAGCACTCTCGGGGCAGCTGCTGGTAAAGGTCTCCTCTACAGCAGTTTCAGTTCAGCTTTCTTAGGGGAACGGGAGATTTACCAACCCACACCCATCCTGCCAGACCTTGTGACACACACTGGGCTCTGGGGCTTCCCCAAGATTTCCACAGGCCAATGTGCTCCCTCTTACAGAGTAGAGACTCCCAATATTTAGAAGCAGCAGCAAAAGCAGCAGTAAAAATGCACTCTCATTCAGTAGGAGTATGGCTTGATAGCAGGAGCCCTGTTCTGGAATACTTTCATTTCACAGGGGAACCTGTCAAGGTCCTCGTGCTCTGATTCAGTCCCAGTATTAGCTCCAGAAACATAACTCTCTTGATTTCTTCTTTTATTAAAAATCTGTTGTAACAGCACCCTCACATCTGCTGGCCCTGCATGCCCTGTCTACCCGCAGACATCAGTTTCAGGACCTCAGGTGTGATCCATGCTGGAGCAGGACAGGAAAACGGGAGCAGAAGGTCTGAGTAACACCACTTCATTACCCTCTGGCACAGTACCAGCTCCAATGGAGCATCACTCAGTGGATGCTATGTAAATGTTATCTACCATAAACAGGACTAATGCTTACTACAGCATGCAGCTACTTTAAAAACACCTAAAATGAAATCGTTCATATTTAACAAAAGCTAAAAATCCTCTCATTCACATCCCATATTCTTACCTGAAGCTAAATAAGAGCTAATTAAAGTAGCTTTCACAGTAACAAAAGTTCTATAGCTTGTACTGCCATTCTGCTCTGAAGAAGAAACTACAAACAGGAACAAGCAGAGATTCATGTTTCCTGTGGGACCGGCCATCTTTGCTACCTCTCCAGCACCATCAGTATCTAAGCGCTAGCATCTGTGCTCACACTACCCAGTAAGAACACATCTCCTCTGTATTGCTAGCTGAGAAATTTCTTGCTCAGTCATTTTGACACCCAGAATGGTTTCAGACACCCCCAGGGGAGGCAAGCATGCCACCCACTGCTCTCCTACTCCATACCGCTGTTCTCCAGTAGCATCTTACCTTTTTTCTTCTTTGGTTGTTCAAGTTCTGGAGTCTCTGGTGATTCAGCATAAGCGTCTGGGGCTTGGTGAACTGCCACCACGTCAGGGATCCCATCAAACGTGACTGACACGTGTGTAATAGGAGACACGATATCATCATCTTCAGTTGCGTCAAACATAGTTGCTTAAGAGAAAGGGACAGCAGGGATATTTTCACAGAGCCACAAGGACTTTTAAAGGCTGTTTGTGCTTTTGTTTTTTGTTTTTTTTTTTTTACATCTTTCCTTACTTGTTCAACTCTGGCTAAGCAATTAAATCATTGTCTACAACACTGGACTTCTGTTATCCAAACTATGCACACAAGGCTACTTGGAAACAAAATGATCTTAGCAATTCCATGTAATCATGGTGCACTGAATCCATCTTTCTTTCACAACTAAGCAAGACAAATAGAGATTAGATTTGCTTTCATAAAAACTTACTTATTCTTTTGTCATCCAACATAGGACCAGGGGAATCCATATTGAGAAGTGCTTCAGCAGCCTCGATTGTTTCCATTGTCTCATCTCCATTATGACAAGATGCTTCAACTAAAAGCAAGAGAGAAAAATTAACTCTTAACAAGCTACAAACTGGACTTAAAGCGTAACATGTATTTATTCCTATTTCATTTCTAGGGAAAAATAAGTGGCAAACATGATCTTCAACTAGCTGAGCAGTAACAGGTTAGCTGGGGAGAAAATGCACACTGCAAGAATTACCTTATTTAATACACTACATTTTTTAGATTGTGTGAATTAAAAAATAAACCCAAAACCAACACAAACCCTTTGTTTCTGCCTCATCCCCTTTCCTGATCAAGCACATGCAGTAAAACACAACACACATGAACCCTAGGAAACATCACTACTACAAACAATACTTCACACAGTATCTTTTTAAAAAAAAACAGCATTGCTGATTTCTTCTTATGGTGGTCCAAAGGAAGTGAATTCCATAATTAAGAGATGCTCACCAAAAGTATCCTGTCATTTAGCCTGGAGGACAGATCAGAAAATAATCCACAATTTTTATTAGAGAGAATATGATCTGAATGTGTAACTGAATCCTAAACCATTCAAATCCATGGGGATTACAGGTAGGGCTAACAGTGCAGGCTCCAGAATCACACTGGAAAGCAGACATAAACCATGAAAAGCAATACGGAGGGCTGGCAAACTGTTCAAAAAGTCTGACTACTGGACAATCCCTCATCAATTTTATGATGGTGTCCTTTAGACAAATCCAAAGCTCCTGAGCACCAATTTATAATTAAGGTCATCTGAAGCTACACACCAAAAACAACCAATAAAATATCACTTTGCAAAATAACAGCTGTCCAAGAAGATAACACTGGTTTGAGAGGAGGAGTACCAAACCAGAGGACTTTTTTCAATATAAATATAGCATGACAAGTAAGTTAGATACTAGTTCTGGTACCATAAACCTTTGGGAGTGTTCAACACATTCTTTTAGAAGTTAATCTTTGTTGGATAGCAATGCAGGGGCCAGGCTTCCTTATCCTCTGACACCAATTGAAGCCACACTGGGGAATTCACTTGCATTTATCAAGCGGCACAGTGGGTTGCATTGGTGTTCCCCTCCATAAGGCACATCAGTTACTTTCTCAGCCTGCTCATGAGTCAGCTTCATGCCCTCTCTCCCTGCTTAGCTTTGAGGAATTTGGGGTGGGGCACTCACAAAAAACAAAAAGAAGAAAAAAAAAGAAGAAAAGAAAAAAGAAAGGAGACAGACTGACAGAGCAAGAAAAAATGCACCATAAAACACAACACACAACAACCCTGGAACACTTCTTCTTCATATAAAAGCAAGAGGTTTATCTCTGCACTTAAAAAAAAAAAACAAAACATCAGCTAAACAATCAAACAAGTAAAAAAACAACCAAGCAAAAACAAACAGTTTCACCCCAAGCGTTTACAACTCCAGCAATCCTATCAGTAGGAGATGGCAAAGATGAATGCAGACTGTCACACATCAGTCCTACCTCCTCCACCCAGCTGTGAGTTACGGGCAGCACACAGAGCTCAGGAGAAGGCTCATCCTTACCTTCTGGATTTTTCCTCAACATTAGTCCTACCATGCCCCAAGAATCAGAGGCTCAGGCTAAGACAGAATAAAGTAGACAAGCATTGGGAACCCATGACCCACACAACAACTTGCCCTGTTGTCTATAGGACCTCTTCCACTCCCCGTCCTGCATAGACATTCAGATAGTTAAGGATCTGCAACTGCTGGCTGACATCTCCAAGCAGGCTTAATAAATGAGAGACACAGAGTTGGAGAGGACAGCATGAAGGGAAAAGGGGAGGTGGTGAGTACGGACTCAGGGCCTGGCTTGGGAAGCCATAGAGTGAGACGGCAGCAAACTGCTCACACTTTTGTCATGCAGGCTCAGAGCTCCGCCACAGACCCCTCAGCCCCAAGAACCAAACAGCATCCTTAGGGAGTGCCTGGCCAGCTGAGGAGGAGACTGAACCAAGCGCAGCTCAGGCAGACTGCAGGCATGCTCATGCTTGGCTTAGAAGCACTGACCTGGTCACTTCTGGTTCCACTTTATCTGGATGAGAACCTTCCATATCATCTACCAGCATAACAAAGACCACAATAAGGATGTTACCCTAAATACAGGCACACAGCACTGCCAAAGCAGCTGTCATTAGTTCTGGCATGCTTTGAATGGTCAGGAAGGTAACCCACCCTGATGCAGCTCAGCCAAAGCCATGGAGTGGGGCTAATTTACACTGCCACATACAACTTAAAAACCAGCAGTGGTACTCCCTGGTCCTCAGTGCTGCAGGCAGGGAAGAGACAGCAGCAACTGTTTGCTCCTTCCCCAGTAAGAACTGTGTGAGAAGCAAACCTGCCTGCTTGCTTTCAGGTGCTGAAGTGATGGAGCTGTGTTAATTCTTCACTCTGAACATTGTCAGGAGAGGGAGAGGTCACCAGGTTTACATCACCGTTACACTGTGTAGCTAGAAGTTGACCATCCATTTCCAAGACTAATAAAAGGAACTTATAATAGTCATACAAATAATGTAAGCATAGGATTAATATAATTTGATGCTCACAAAAAACATAAGGAGCACCAGAGGTCTTGTCTATCCACAGAATGGCAAAAATGAGGTTTGTAACCACATTAATGCTCTTCCTAACACCCTCCAAGCCTCTTCTTAGCAGATGATTTCACAAGGTGTTTTGAAACAAATTAGTATTTCCCTGTTGGTGAAAAAACAAGGGCTGTGGTTCTTCCTCCCATCTCTCTTCCTGGTTCATGATTCAAATCCCCAACACTTAACACAAGCCAGGCTTCATGCTTTTTTGATCACACAGAGAGTCAATTTAGTTTTACAAAATGGCTGAAAACAAGTTTGGGGGGTACTGCTGAGTTAGCAAGTTGAATTACAAGAACTCAAGAGCTAACACAAACAAGGTGTGGGGCACCACACAGAGGAGGTGAGGCACCACCTCTCTGCCCTACTAACAGCAAGGTGCTAATTCACACTACTCAACTTCAGACAGTGCTTGGAGATAACCAACTCAGCAACCAAAGGCAAGTCGGTGTCTGCTATTTTAGCTTTTCCCTTAATGCTGCAGAAAGGTATTCCAACCACTGGCAGTTACGATACAGACACAAATTTAAGAAGAATTGGGATGAAATGGCTTATTTGTTACACTTTGGCAATGTCAGAGCTGAAAGAATGGGGGAGGTGACTTCTGAGAAGTATCAGGTTTCTAACGTTATATTAAATAGGTGGAAACTTTTTTTTTTTTAAAAAAAAAGGAGGAAAGAAGAGGAAAAAAGGAAATGGGGGAAATGAGAAAGGAAAAAGATGGGGGAAGAAAAACGGGGTGAACTATTAAGAAAAAGGGAGGAAGGAGGTGGGGGGGGGGGGGGGAAAGGGAAAACCACACCCAAAAGTAATTTCACTTTTTTTTTTCCCCAGGGTACTTTACAAGTTCTTGTTTATCTGAACCAGCCACAAGTGTAACCCTCGGTATCTGCACGTCAGTTACAGCCCAGTTACTGTGAATCCGGGTTCGCTATGAATCAGCAGCGCTTGCCATTGGCGTGAGGCTTGCCCAAACACAGCCTTCTGCTCTCCTCACCCGGTTCAGAAAGAAACTATGGCTCATGCTGGAAGCTCCCCACCTCAGCACCAAGTCCTGCCTACAGCCTTTCTGAAAGCTCCACACTGCTTCTGGTGATCCCATCCTGCTCCTGCTGCCTCCCTGGTGGGGAAGTGCCTCCGGACAGTGGACAATGTAGGCGCCTCCCTGTGCAGGCCAAGATAAGGGCTGTGCTAGTCATAGCTGTGTTTAAATTCACTGCTGGTTTCATTATAGACAAAACCAGGGGCCTCACAGTCTCAAAGTAACATCAGAAGAAATCTAGAGGTGCTACAAGTAGAGAGTGATCCATTAAACACGGACAGAGCTCCCTTTTGCAGAACAGCTGGCTGTTAAATTTAAGCAATTGCTTTTCAGTATCATCTCTCAGCTGACTGCTAGCGAACACTGGAAAACCAAGTTTAAGAGCCCATATATTTCAGGAGACTTACACATGACCCTTCATTTTCTTTTTAAAATGAGGCTTTACAGTTTGCAAAGAAAATCATTTCACTGGGGAGCTGTATGAAAAAGCTCTCACTGTTTTTAACCAGATGCTATGTGCAGCAGTGAATAATTTCTTTACACAGTAACTGAAACCATACCCATTGTTGGGGTTTGTTTGTTTTACAGCTGGCACCTTGTCAACTCAAAATCCTTATGGATTAACACTATGAAGTTCAGTTTCAACCAAACTATTCCTTTGGACTTCCTTGTAACGTCATAAATGATCACCAAAGATGATGAGTTTGCGCAGGCGTGCAGTACCCAACATCTCTTTGCCTTCATTCTCATACCCAAGCAGCTTGGTGCATGCCATGAATGCTAGAGCATCACAAAATGTACAAGCCAAATGCTGCTGAACTTCAAAATGATGTAAAGTAACTCCTGAACTGGTTACTAAGACCATTATTGATCCATGAAAATGCGCATTTCCATGCTCACTATTCACACTAAGCACAAATATTCTGTCCCTCCTATCTCACCCCCCGAACTGTCTCAGTGCAGCCACTTCCCTCATCCTACATCCAAACACCACTAAGGTACATAAAGAGCAGAAGACAAGTTGGCCCAGAATTTAGTTTGCATAAACCATTATTCCCTGTATTTTTCAGAGAACGAGTAGCAATTCAATATTCCTCTTAAAAAGGAAGAAAAACATTTTCAATATTCCTTTTCAAGATAAAACTTCATTCAAAGCCAAATGCTCCACTTTATCTTGTTAATCATCCCTTATTACATGATAGTTATTCATTCAAAATCCTGTAATATGGGTTCAAACTGGCATCGTAGTTTTTCCAGGGAAGAGTGCTTTTGAAGAGAAGAGAAAAAAAATACAGGCTGAGTGGTAATGTAACTAAAAAGCTGATTTTTAGCAGGGTTTCATGTGAAGCAGATGCTGTTCTTTCTGTAGGTTGTAATTTATACTACAGGTAAGTAATCACCGATGTGCAGTAGCCGTGGGATTGAAGGGAGCTACGTCCTAGACCTGGCAAAACCTACCAGTGTCCATCTTTCTGCATATAGATCCTAAAAACTAACTGGTTCAGTTTCAGGAGACCTACTGTTATTTTCTGTTATTTTAGGAGAAAAGAGAAGCTTAACGTATGACAGAGCCATGAAGCAGTACTGAGAAACTGGTTAAGTTTTACAAATCCTGTATATTAAGCAGCCGTTTCTTGGTAATGTTTAGTCATAAATCATGGTGGTTTCAGTTTCGTTTTGCTGTGAACTTCAGCCTTACGAATATTTTAATGTGGAATTAGTACTGGCTTTGTAGGTCTGATCCTCTCTCAAACGCATAACGTGGAAGTGACTGAAAAGAATGGTCCAAACTTCAAGAGCAAAACAACACATTTCACTGTTGAGGCCAAACACCCCATGAAAAGAAAACAAGAGGGGACCTTCAAAGAAGGGAGGGGAAAAAAAACAAAGCAGCTGGAATATAGAGTAGGTGGGAAATTTCAGTTATGATTAGCCCCATTTCAGAGGCAGCCTATGACAAGCTGCACTCTCTTCCATGGCAGCCCTGCAGCTCAAGCAGGCAGCTGCGGCCACAGCCGATACTTGCATGCAGCAGGCAGAGAGCTCCTTCCTCAGTGTCCTCTTCTCACCTCCTGTGGGGTGCCTTCACACCCTTGGGGGCTCAAATTCTGCCCCCCCTTGAGTCAGGCTAGACAGCTGCCTGCCTTGCATCCTGAACAGGAGCTTTCCGCAATGGTGCTGGTCCCTGCCTGGCCTGGTTTCATCCACTTCTCTGTCCAGGGACACCTACAGCATGTGCACTAGCTAGCAGGATGGAGAGCATGAAAAGCAGAATTACAGAACATCTATTTCCTTCACAACAACAACCTCTGCAAAGTGGCAGCTCTGGTTTCCTAAGGACTTTGACTTTAAAGAAAACCAGAGTGCTTGGACTACAATGGATGATGGGAACAATACCATGCTTGTCTGCTTCTAAAGTATCCCAGAAACCCTTGGACACCATTGGTTACAAGGATTACGTATTTTCAGTCTCTGGCAGCAATTTGCAAATCCTTCTCATGTGACCAGCACCAAAAAAAATGTTAACAAGAGCATTCACAAAAGTGGAGTTTCACAATTACTCATGCAAGTAAAAATTCACACACAATGTACTACAGTGAATATGGATTCATAAAAACAATCCGCTGTGAAAAACTCAGTGTGAGGAAATGCCAGTTGCACTGTGAATAATTAATGTGAATAGCAAGGGAATAGTTGGCAAGAGGTCTCAACTTGAAATGATGTTTAAGTACGTACAACCTTCTTGAATAATCAGCTGATGTGTACGGTCACAGTCTGTTCACAGTTAATTCACTACTAAGAAAAAAAAGGAGCCATTTTCATCAGATAAACCCATTTACTGAGACCAGCTCACATCAGTTTACTCTGTGAACTGCTCCTCATGTCAAGTTTTGTGGAGTTTTTGTTTTGCTTTTGGTGGAAAAAGATCATATCAGACTGTGACTTTGGAAATCATGTCAAAAGCATGATTGAAACCAGCAAGCTGTCTCCAGCCCTGGAGACAGTCCAGGTGTGAGGCCTAATGGCTGCAAGAAGATGCAGAAACAGGTCTCTCTGTGAAGTATCTACCCCTCCTTCCAGGCTTGTTCTGCAGAATTGCTTCAAACACAGCGAGGGGTTTCTTACAACATGTGGCATCTCTGAGCTCTTGAGAACTGGGGCTACCTTTTTAACAGAATTTATAGAACATCTGTAGCTTAGGCATGAGTCATTATTATAAGATTATTAAAGATCCAAAATGCATACTGTGTTGTTCGTACTTACACCAGCAAGTCAAGCTAACATGCACATTTTATGGCTAATTGTATGCCCTTGTGAAGCTAAAAGCAGCACAGCTACTCAAACTGCATATTCCTGCTTTTTGGTATGTATATTTACATAATAACCACGAAATAAGAGCAAACAAACCATGTAAGGGCAAAGAAAAATCTTGTTGGTACTCTGAGCAGGACTCTGTCTTAATATCTGTTGATGGATGGAGCTCTTCACCATTATCAACTGTGCAGCTGGGATTGCAAGCCACCTGCTAACAGTATTAATGCCATTTTCTCTGTCTTGTACAGAATTAACAGCATTTAGTACTTCTGTAAGTTTGTTTCCTATTGGATTTTGTCATTAAGCCTTTTTTCCACATTAGCTACAACCATCTTGGTGCAAAAATGTGGCACAGAAGTACTTTTATTGCTAACCTGTGAGGGTGATATCATCATCTTCTATGATCTGCTCTTCTGCAACGTCCAGAGAGTTCTCAGTGATCATGTCACTAGGTTCATCCACACAGGTTAACCCAGAGTAGTTATGTAGGAGTTCTGCACTAGGAACATGCTCCACGATGACAGCAGGGAAAATAGATGGATCACCAAGCTAGGGGTGGAAAAAAGAATATTAAAATAACAGTAGTTAGACTACATCCAATCTTAACCTTAATCTAAACTTACTGTTACTTCAACAGACCTGTTTGACATTGCTCAAATATTAGATTGCCAGGAGAAAGTACCAAAGAAGAAGATGATTTTTAGCACATAAACTCCAGTAGCAGCAGTGTCCCACTATGGGCCAGAGGCTGAGCATCACTCTAATATCTAATATACTGGCTTTACTCGGGTAGGAAACACCAGACCCCCAGGACATTATTTCAAAGCACAAAAGCTGATGATACAGAGGAGTGACAATGCACAGTAAATGCTCAGTGTTGTTGGCAATAATAGTCGGCACACAACTTGCCACAAGCACGTTCATCTTTTGTTCTCCCCAACAAGCTGGGGGCAAGGGAGTCCTGCAGCTGTCAGGACTGGACGAAGCTCTCACAGGCACCAAGTTTCCCATGAGACACTAGTTGAAAATCACTTGGGGATGCTTGCTACAAGAGCAAGGAATGTAACAAGGAGTGCTTCATATACATACTGTAATGCTTTCCCTCTTTAATTCTTACAGTTTTAGTCACTTGACATTACTCCCCCTCACTGCTTCCCTTCCTAAATCTGCTTTCAGACATCATCCTTCTGCCTCAATACTTATTTTGCATCACACACAGGAGAAAAGAGGCAGCTGGGAAAACAGAAATCAAGCTGACCAGTAATATATTAGTAAGAGAGAAACTCTCTGAAAAGACAGCCATTCAAGAGGAAGAGGTTTTCAGAAAATACCATTTACTACAGACACAGTATTTTCCAAAGTGAGTCTCTTTGAATGCTTTTTACAGGAAGAAAGTCACAATTGATGATTGCAGAGCAGGCCCAAAGAAAGTCTAGTGTAACTCTAAGCTTCTCTCTCTTTAAAAACAAATCCAAAAGTTGCTAAAACATGTTTCTGATAAAACCGGTATACCTACATTTGGTCTCACCCTCCACAGAAAAGCACAGATACGCATGGGCCAAGGTTACTTATTTAACCACACGAGAAAAAACAACCACTATGTGATTATGAGCTTGCTTAGGGATTGCTCATGTCTTAGTCTTGCCACTACACACATAGCCACTAAGAGAACATGGTATCAGAGCTATTGGCTCAACACAGACATGGGCAATGGCAGTAAGCCTCCCCTAGGGAAGAGCCTGGAACTTAAGTACTAAAAGTAGAAAGTGCGATTAGAAGTTTCAAAAGGCAGTAATTACCACTTTACATTGCTCTGTGTTTTGTAAAACATGTCTCAGCAACAACTGTGGTAAAGGGCAATCAGGAAAAAAAAGGAAGAATTAAGAAACAGAACTAGTGTTTGTATGGGCTTCTATCATGGACAGTTTGCTAAGCAAAAAAACTCCAACAAAACCAAAAAAAACAGCAAATAACCCGTCTACTCTACCAAACACAAGCTTCAAACCAGAATAACATGGCAGGAGATCAATAAACATGAACAAAGGGCAGACGAGTTAAAGCCCTGTTGTGCAATCACATTGCCAGATGATGGGTGTATGCTGTGTCAAGCAATGAGTCAGCTTCCACCCCACACCTTTGTGGCCAACTCTGTCCAAAGCTGCATCATGCTGGGGCTGAAAAAACAGACATCACTGGTGGCCACAAGGTCCCTGCTGTTCCTCAGAAAGAATCATGTTCACATGTGCATGCATCCTGTTTGTTTACTGACCCCCAACATTCCTGTTCCTATTTGTTTCCAGGCAAAAATAAACAGATTTGATAACATAAAAGCCACATCAATAAAAAAAATAAAGCACTGTAAAGAAGAAGAAAAATCTAATACTGTATGCATTAAAAGGTTTTATTTTGAACAGTATGTTCCATACACTAGAAGGAACATGGTCCGTTACAGCCTCATCATTGAGACCCAATTCATGCTCTAAAATAGTTTAAATACCTCAATTTCAGTAATATACCGCAGTATGTAACTATTAGGATGTAGGTTACATATATTGTACATCCATATATGTACCTACATCAAAAATAATAAAAAAGGTTTACATACAACACTCAGGCTCTCGTCATCAGCAAGCAAGTACAGCACATGCTTTTCAAGCACCTGTTCAGTATTCTACTGAGCATGTCAAAACCATCAGTTTTAGGTAGGGAAGATACAAATAAAACTTTTGTCTTTTCATCCTGCTCTAGTGTGTAGACGCTAAGGGTGAAGTTCATCTTGCCTAACTTCAGGCAGCTGCAGTGCTTAGACTTGAGCTAGGAACCCCAGGCTCCTCCTCCAGAGCCAACAGAGAAATGCTTATTTCTAGGGCACTATTTCTCTGCCCAGTTCGAGGCTCCTGTGCTACAACATGAATCATGCCCTAAAAACACCTATTCCTCTCTGTTGACTACAAAAGGGTGGGTGGAGGTGTTGGGGCGTCTGTTTCTGCTGTAGGCGTCTGTCTCCTCTACACTCAGCAACAAATGCCCAGCTTCCTGCCCAATGCGCCTGAGGTGAAGTGCTCCTTCCTCCCTGCTTTCACAGCTGCACCAGCTTGAGAGCTGCTGCATCTGCAGCAACGGATCAAGCTGCCCGTGCTTAGGATGACCCTCACGTTAGCTTGTTCTGGATAAAAAAGTTACCTTAGCTCAGCTCTGTCCTTCTCTAATGACTGACACTCATGTCACTGACTTGGACCCGGAGAGGCAAAACCTGCTCCAGGACTGCTGTTATTCTTTAGTGGGGACAAGTCATGAAAAAAAACCTGTTTCAGAATAATAAGTGAAACAGATAAAACCAAACAACTGTCACATGCTTTCAGCTTAGCTTCTCAAAGCCCTATTTATATTACACCCTACTTATCGCTCTGCTGTGAAACCTAATTACAAAAGCCCAAGCATCCATGTGTCACTGAAGTACACCTCACCACTGACCAAAATGTTTCCTGTGGTACTGAACAGTGCTGCTGTCACACACTTCAGCAGCAGTTGATTTGATCCATGTGATCAGATGTGATCTGCTCTGCAAGGTTAAACTGTATTTTGACCATGTCTAGAAGCAACCATCATTCACACACTCCGACACAGCCACTGTGTCTGTCTACAGACAGAGAATCGCCATGGCAGGGCAGTACCTTGTGGCTTGAACTTGGCCCCGCACCGTCCAATGAGTCTCCTGACACACTGAGCTTCCAAAAGACAAGAGATGAACAGAAAAGCATTCACTTGTGGTAAGACACTTTAAATGTGGCTTTGCTTACATCAGTAAACAAAGTTTACATTAGTTTTGAACTGGAAGAGTCAAAGTAAATATCACTTCCTATGGTCCATTGTTCCACCTGCTTCCAACTCATACCTTACAATGTATGGACTTTCTTTCCTGCCATGGTTGTACAGAAGGAAGCATATGCTTTTGGAGAGAAAAGCATTCACACAACTGCAAACAAATCTAATCTGAAATATATTTTTGCAGAAATGATCACTTTTTTGCACAATATTTGTAATTGGTTATGATTTCATTAACAGGCAGTTTTAAAAGCTATCACTCCTGTATGCTGAGGTATACATGATTGTTGAGACAGAAAATCTCCCCTCAGTAATTCCATAAAGTTCTTGTTTTCATTGACAGCGCCTGAATCTCAACTGAGAACCAAGCTAAACCTTCTTGTGGCTCTGCTGTTGTACAACACATGAATAAGTTTTTTACACATTTAGAGCTTCAGAGGAGCCCGTATTTACTATGGCTCCCTTTGATAGCAGTGTGTAATGAGGATTACACACAGGGAAAACATTAAATTAAGGACTAGAAGGTAGTGTTTCGATTAAGACAAATTAAATTACCTCTCTAATAGCATGAACACAAAATAATTTATTTCTAATGCAAAGGTGATTCTACATGCACTAAAAAAAAAGGAAGAGTGCAAAGTATTACACAATTAAAACGAGTCCCAAATTAAAGTGTCAGCAATGACTTTCAAGAAATCAATATATAAATCCATAGAAGAACAATCTGTGTATTTTCTCCTTTTGCCTACTTCTGCTGCTTTATCTTTCTCATGCAAAATATAGTTAAAATATGACACCCTCACTCTGTCAAAGCTTTGGCTTGGCTTCAGTGTACCTCCCATGTCTGCTGCACACATAAAACAGTTGAGCTACTACTGCAATCTTCCCAAGTCTTAGACAGCAAATTCCTCACTGCAGTTCATCTACAAACTGCTCCTGTAGACCAACCTTTAACAATTTGGAAGACTGCAAAGCTTCAGACAGATGCTGAAGCCCGTGGAAGATCCCATAAGGAGGTCCTTGAAAGCATTGCTCATGCGTGATGACCCCCTGAAAAATGAGCCCTCTTTCCTCAGGTGCCAAAGGCAATATTTCTTTCTGCTCTAAAATTCCTCTTGAGTGTTTGACAGGCTGACAAAGTATTTCTTCTTTTTTCTGAACATTTTCTCATCATCTATCACCAACTGACACAAGATCAAAACACCACCCTGGTCATGGAAATGGAAGATAAGGAAGGGGACTTCTTCTGTTCTGGAGGTACCGTCTTCTCATACTGTGAGTCCTCTAAGGAAGAAAACTTGTTCCAGGAATACAGTGACTAGCTTCTAACTGGTGTGGAATAAATGTTGTGCGAGTGAGTGATGGGTGGGAAGAAAGGCATACGACAGATAGGAGCAGGGAAAAGCTACAAGGGAAAAGAAGAAAGAAATCTCAGTGAAAAAAACCCGATATTTTTAACAGAGCAACAGAATCCAGACTTGCAATACAACTGGCCATTTATTAAACAAACAAACCAGCAAAGTGACCTTGGTGACTAGAAAATGGGCTTTGGCTTTCTCTCAGTGGAGGTTCCTGTGCCAACAGCAGAGGCAGCTTCTGGACTTTCAAGGCATTCCCATGGCCAACATCTGCAAATCACCAAGTTTCACAGAGAGATTCTGGAAGCAGGTAAATGCTGCTTGCTTTCCCAAGCAGATAACCTCAGTATGGGTCTCACAATCATTTCCTTAAAGTCTTCATAAACAGAGAGTGGATAAGGAGAGGACTTTCTGCCAGAGCTGGAAATAGACAAAAAATTTAGATCTGGGCCTTGACCAGGTGACTTATGTTTCAGAAAGCCCATGGCAACAGCAGGCAATGTGGAAAAGCAAACCGAGGTATAAGAAGGTGGTACAGAAGTCACAGCCCAACCTCAGGGATTGGACTGGATCTCTCTTCTTCAGAAGAAGGGAAGAAAGAACCATCCCTCAGAGGTACAGAAGGTATCTTCAGGTACAGGTTACCACATGCATCAGCCACTTGAGAAAGAACGTGATTGCACAGAGCAGTCATGCTGGGGACCACGCTGGCAATTTAATGGTTGCGATGATTCAGTGTGACTCTGGCACCATTTAAACCTTCCTAGTAAGGATACAGCCTCTGTGGCTGCTTTATTCAGCTTTTTAGATGTCCTGATCAAACATAACATTAAGTTAACAAAGGACTAAATGAAAAGACATTGAGGGGAGAAGCTGCAGACATGAAAAAAAGCAGTTTTAGACAGTGGCACTGACTCAGGCCAAGCCTGTAGGAGCTCCTGCCCAGATGTACGTGTGCAGTCCCTCTCAAAAAGAAACCAAACCAACAACAAAAAAGCAGCCCCTCCATTTAACCAGGATCTCTGGCATGTAGCATCAGCCAGACAGGTTATCAGTAGCACTAGTGCAAGCTGCTTGTTCCCCTCTCAAAATTATGAGGACATCATCCCATTTCTCCCTCACCATATAAACGCAATGTGATAAATGAACTTTCCAAGTAAAAAAAATAAATCATTATTTTCTAACCAGAAAAAGATCAAGCTGGTAAGAGAGAACCTTTCCTGTTCACATGGGCCACGTGACTTGAGTTCCTCCCACTGGCGTCTGCCACTGCTCAATGCCTACATTTGCAAATGTACTGCTCATAATTTATGGTTGTTTAACCAAGGCTTAGAAAGAAAATAACTTTTTGAAAGCCATGAATGATGACTTCCCTGAAATACTGAATGTAGCTGCCATCTAGACCCTGACCCTCTCCTCACAGCTGTTCCATGTCCTGACAGCTCTTGGCACTACAGGGCTCCAGGCAAAGCTTTGACAAAAAGTACCAAAGCTCTTGCAATGCAGCTTTTGGGGGCATCACAAAAGTAATTATCCAAAGATCAATTAAATGATACCTGTATACAAATATGTCACCTTCTGTATACTGAAAAAGCTGACAAAATGCTTTTGAAGAATGCAAAGCAATTCCAGACCTAATTTTTTTTGCAAAGTACACAAATCATGTTATCCATTCCCAATTTGTCCAGAACTTAAAACGTTCAGGAGTAGCAATAGCAATATCACCTACGTTATAAGAAACAGATCAACCAGGTATAAGAAATGAGTAATCTTTTTGGGTCAGTGTACTATAAATCGTTGTCTGAGCTGAATCTTGCTCCAGCTTCCCAGATCTTTCCCTATGCAGGATTCCTTTTCTACTAGTGAGTATTTAAGATCTACCTTCATGCAGCCAGCTAACTGGTTGCCTGCATCTTTGGTACCTGAAGGAAGTTAATCCAGTGATTTAAGAGGAGATTGCATCTGATTCTTTGCAGTGATGGACCTTGTGCTATGCGCTCTCTCCCTTTGGCCTTTCAAATGTTTCATTTTGTCATCTTGAGAATATGCTACAGGACACCTTCTTTCCTTAAATTTCATCTGAAATAGGGTTTATTTGGGTTACGAGATAAATGCCAAAGTTGAGTTTGTTCTGGAGCTGGAAGAAGCCCTGTTTAAGGAGTTTTTACTGCCCTGTTGAGTACTCTTTAGTATTTTTAAGCTTTTCCAGGTGAACATCTGAAGGAATTGCAAGAGGTAGAATGCACAACTAAACCAAACAAAACCATGTTTGCTCGCATTACCCCTTCCAGAAACCACACTGAAGTAGCCCTCCCCATCTCAATTCTTCCCTCTCCCATAAGCTTGTAAAGCAAAGCCAGCAACAAACAACAAACAGCAGTAATAAATAAGGCTCATTTTCAGCTACATTTGTGCAATTCCCATACCTAAATCCCTAGGCTGCCACAAGCTCTGGAAAAATACAGGGAAGGAAGTTACATTACAAGTTCCACCCAAAACTGAGTTAGCACTTTAGAGAGATAACACTCAGTTCATTGAAGTGATCACATAACTCTGACAGCAGAAACTGGACACTGACCTAGTCACATATTTGGCCATACAGAAAACTAGAGACAAGATTATAAAGCCAAAAGTATTTTTGAAAGACAGGAGGATCAATGCTTTTCACACCTACAAAAACAGGAACAGTTCGTTGCAGTGCATCACAGCCTTTTACAAGCTGTTTCTCCGCAATAGCCAAACACCTAATTTCTTGTTAATAAATGCAAACCCTGCTATTAGCCACCATCTGGTAAGGAGCTGCCTGATTTTTACAATAGGAGTACCTTGCTGAAGCCTCAGGACTCACAGGATGTGGTTTAGATAATCAACTCCTAACTGAGAACCTACTCAGATAAGAACAGACATATTCTCCCTGCAGTGTGAAAGAAACCCATTTAAGTTACTTTGAAGCTTATTTCTGAATAGCTGGCATACAGTAACACAATTTAGAAACCGATATGCAAAAAGCAGTGAGCAAATAGCTACTGCTCCTTCTAGTCATCTGGAGTGTGACTTTTATTCAGCATTTTATCCTAGCACACTAGGTTAAAACTACTGTCAGATACCAGAATTTGGGGAATTCTTCATCACAAGTGGATTGAGTCTACTGGCATAAGTCAGTGATACAGAAAAAAACACATTTTGGAGGAGGATGTCTCTGCAATACTGTAGAAGTTAGAACATTTCAACCAATTTCTGTTCTGCCCATGCAAGTTACAGGAAGCAACAGGAAGCTTTCGAAACAGCACAAAGATCTGCTGGAACAATAATGACCTCAATGTTTGCTTCTTTGTGTTTTACACCACATTTTTTCCTTGTGTTTTTAGAATATTCCCATCAGCAACTTGCATGAACATGATTTCTTACACTGTCCCATACCTGCTGCTCATCCTCCATAACGTTGCTGGCAAATTCAAACACAAGCTCATTCTGCTGTACAACTGCTGCCATAATAACGCATTCCCAGGTCTCAGCTCCACATACGAAGAAAAAGCTTCACAGATGTGAAAGAACAGAGAGCGCCACTGAGGTCCAGCTGGGCAGAGAGGCAGGATCACAAAATGAACCGAGTATCAGTGTTCGGATTCCTTAGATCATCAGTGTTCACGGGTTCTTCTCTTCTCAAAGGGAAACAAACCCAAGGGAAATCCTTTCCTGAGTTGCTCTTCCCACCCTGATAGCCTTTATCACTGTGGAAGGAAAAAATAATCCAGTTTTAATGAAGAAAAGATTCCTTTAGCAATGTGAAATAGTAGCAGTCACAACAAAGCTTGCTCTGAACTATAACTGTTCCATCTAACTCCAAGCAAGTCAGATACCTTTGTATCATCAGAGATATTACTCTTACTAATACATGACAATTTTCATTGCCTTAAAACTGCTTCAGGAAGTAAGACATCAGTTTCAGAGTGTTTCATATTAAAAGCACGAGATTAAAGGAAAGTTACAAAAGTAAACAAAAAGAAAATTCATCTTTTCATTCAATTCATATATACACTTTTCACGTTCACGCGTAACTCTCACCTTTAAGTTATATTCAACATAAAACCACAAAACTCAGACTGACCTATTCAGCTGTAGGATCTCTCATGTGTATCACCTTTCTTCTTCAAACACAGTTCAAATTTAGTCAAGTTGTTATTTTGAGAGTAAAACGCTCTAGAACTTGATTCCCACAGTGCCACACAGATGAAACTAGTAAATAAATAGCTCTGTACAATCCAGAGAGTCCTGAGTTCCTTCGTGGAGCAGATCTTCGGCTACTTGTTAAAAATGCACTGTAAACGTATCCTTATCTCTACCACAGGCTCACAAGCAGCCGGAAGGAAACAGCACTGACCACGTCATGGCAAATTAGAACAGGCAAAAAACTGCACAGTACAATAGCAAAGAAAAAACCTACTCCGAACTATGGAATGTAAACAGCTTCACTGAGGGTTGGGAGAACACAGCTCCCACGTCCTCATTTCCTCATCAGCGCCAAATGTAAACCTGGCTAACATGAGTTTAGAAAGCGGTGTGCCTGTGTCACTGCTGGGGGAAAAGGCGAGCTCAGAACGTAATCTAACAGTAACAGAAACAGGTGCCTAAAACTGGGAAACTAAGGGATGCTGGTGCCTAGGAATTTAAATCCATACATTTTTAAGGAAGCAAAATATATGGTGCCTAATGTTTAGATCAAACTTCTTTAAACTGCCCCTGCTTAAGGGTTGCTGTGACAGAAGAATAAGGGGCAGAGGTTTAACATACACCCATCCAGACTGAGACCCTCCTTAAAGCCTTTGGGTGACTGCAGTGCCCTGGTGAGGATGACTATCTGCCTTTGTACAAAAGACTTAACTTCACCTTGTTTTTGCAGTAGGCTGAAATACAAAAAAAAAATGAAGAGCATCTTCCTCTCCCTAGTGCCAAGCAATTTAATTAGGGAGGATCATATGTCACAGGCTTATACTCCCTCACTCTAGGAAACGTAACAGCTGTTTTTCCCATATAGGTTGTGGTATTCCCGGATTCCTAAGTCGTGATGGCAGAGCATTTAAACCTCTAGATCCCACCTCTCTAAGAAATCAGGAAACCCAAGATTATGAAAACAGGAGAACCTCCCCAACTTCCAAAGCACGATTTAATGAGCTGCTAAAGGGTTCAGAAGAGTAGCCACAACCCTAACTAGGGAATATCTGCATTAATGAGAGCTACATGAATGAACAGAGAAGGAAGGGCTTTGGGAACCATGACTGTTCAACCCCAGCCCTTCCCATTTTGCAGGATGACTTGACTACTTAAGAAGGTTTTCCCCGTACTTCAGCAGGCTCTGGCACTGCAACCATATAATCGTGGGTAACTTCACTAAACGTAATTACTTGGCCTCACCTTTTAGAAGACAAGAATGCCATTAAGAAGTTACACATGCATACCAGCACAGTGCAACTAAGACCAACTTGCCCATCCCAGACTCCTACCGTTCTGTACACCAGCCTGAAAAGAAAGTACATGGTCATATAATATACAGTTTAATATTTCCTGCAGACATAATTGAAGTGGGTGAATCTGTGTCAATAGGGACATACCAGCTCTTTCAGAAGAGAGGACAGGTATGAAAATAAATATTTGAGTACAACTTCTATTTTGATTACTGCCTAGAAATAAATTGTAACTTTCAAATAAGATTAAATAATAGTATTTTAAGTCAATCCTTCTAATCAGTGAAAGGATTCCTTCACTCCAAAGTATCACTGGGCAAATAAAAGAAGCTCCTCAGCTTCCAAATGGAGACTTGTTTTAAAACAGGGGTTAAACTAATTGTCCAGAGAGAACCAGAGCTGGAACACAACAAGGGCTTGTAATCATCTCCGTTATATTAATGGAAACCACATGTGTGAACAAAGTCCAGTAACTTTCTAAGGCCAGTAACAATTAACAGTGTCCACATGAAATCAGGGCAGATGAAGTGTTGGAGATGCAGGCTACCTAATAAGCTCCTGAAGTATGAGGAAAATTGGAAGTACAGGCACTGTAAGACAGATTTTAGAAGTTCCCCACGAGCATTAGGAACTGGCATATTTTTCCATAGTCACTCATCATTCTGGAAGACATTAATATTTTACAGTAAATACTACACTACCAGGATGCACACTACATGTGTAAGATCCAGCAAACTTACTAAAAGCCATAAAAAAATCTTTTATTGCTTTTTATTAAAAAGAAAACAAACCTATAACAAAACCCTTAATGCAAAACTAATCATCATGATTTAATACCACTTAAGCCAGCAGCAGTATAAAACATCTCATCTCAAAGACACTCACGCACACTAGTTAGAACAGTCACGCTTCATGAAGATGAAGTTCTTAATCATCCGATATGGCTGTAGGAACAGACATTGAAAGCTGTTTTACGGATCCTGCACCATGGTGATGCAGTGATGGAAGACTGTACAGCAAAATGCTCCTTCTCCCCCTCCCCAAAACCAAAGGAATCTATAAATAAAAGTCAAATGACAACTTCTTCTTACAAGAAAAGGAACATCTAACCACAATATTATGACCAAAGTCAAAGACAAGTGAGTGAACAGAATTTAGTGAGCTTTTATATCAAACCTTACAGAGGTTAGGTACTCAAACTATTACTATTTACAGGGAATTTTCATTACTTCTTTGGTGGTACACAGTAATAGCAAATGATCTATTGGGCAACAACAGCATGGCAAAATAATGCAAAAGTACTGTCCTTTAACCCATATAACTTTCTCTGGCATACAGAAAACAAGAGCAGCTTTTCACAAAAGCCAGCACAATCATAAACCAGCTATATTCTCCTCAAAATCTATTTTTATAAAGTGTGCTTTCATTATTCCAAGTATCACAGGATCCTGCTGTCTATAGGCTTACACAAACAAGACTATTGTTTTTACTATAGAATGCCACTTATTTTCCTGCATGATTTTATGTACATCTGTGAGTAGAAAATAAGTTATTTGCAAACAGCATAAAATGCATAAATTGTAGTCGCATGTACAATAAGCTTGGCTACATACAAATAGTCACAGAAGAAAGAGAACCAAGTATATATTACCAGAAAATTTATATCACGTTTTCAGAACTACAGAGTAAGTAAGGTTTTACTTTCATTTTTAATAACTGTTGTAGTATAAAAAGCAGTATTCAGACAAAGCCATATAAATAAACATCTGAATTTTGCTTAATCCTTGAAACTGAACACACATAAATTATTTCAATCCCTCCGGAAGTTCCCCTCTTATACTGATTTCAACATCTAGAAACAATCTCCTCAGTCAGTCTGTCAAAAAGCACATTCGGCTGAATTAACCCTTAGTACACTGCTACTCTGCTGTCCCAGAAGACACGTTGTAGGTCTCCTTCCAGCCAGATGTCACAACATTTTTCCCCACAGCTCTTCACCATATATACCTTACACTGAAGTCTAACCCTGTTTAGGTGGTTCAACAAAGCTTGTTAGAAACATCTCCAGAACCATTTTAGGGCCCAATGGTGAAGCTGCAATACTGCAACTAGGCTCCAACTAGAAGTAACAAATCCACAATTTCTCCTTCGACTCCTGACAAGACGAGCCAGTGTAGCCCATCCTGCCTTAGCATCTGAACACTGTAATGCAGAAATAACACAGCTGCACCATGGTGGAGCAGGTGGAGCAGGCATCAAAGTGCGAGGCACAAACCCAAAGATTTGCTGAAGAAGCCAGCTATAAACTTGGAAGGTTCAAGTCTTAGTACTGAGAGCACAACAGCTGAGCTGAAAGATGCCTCCAGCCAGCAAGCTACTGGATCCAGTCCCATACAGCACTGCTAAAGATGGCTGCAATCATCCTGAGCTCCCTTTTTTGTGAAATTAGTAAGAACATTTGTACATTTAAAATTAAGAACCAGCTTAGCTGCTTTAAGATTCAAATACACACCTGAACCCTGAGTTACTGCAGAAATGACTCAACTCAGCACGGAGACAAATGACTTGGGGTTGAAATTTCCCATTGATTTGCTAAGATAGTCTGCAGCATTAGCTCTAGCCTAGAAATGCCAAAGCTGGGACTTAACAGAAAGGCAAAGCTGAGCCCCCTTCTCAACACACCTTGGATGTGGGAGGAAGAAGGGAGCAAATGAGAGGATAGGGAAGAAAAAAGACATCACCTGGAAATACTGGACTGAAGGACTGAAAACCATCCTGGATGAGGTCAAACACATGGAAGGTACCACCACCATTTCACTCAAGTTTCTAAGTCCTTTCTACCAGTGGAGGTTAGGGATAGACCAAGCCAGAGCCAGTTCAGCCTCTGCAGAGTTGCATCTTTCTAAGATACTGTACAAATAACACATCACAAAGTGTGGTTTTCTTCAAAAGGGTGGAAAAGCTGAATGGTATCACCGTTCTCGTAATGCAGCAATCCCAAACCCATGATGATCTTTATGTATGGTCCACACTAAGCATAAATGCTAACAATAGAGTCCTCTGGCATTCTTCATGGATTGATTATTCCTATTCAGCAATATCAAGAAATTGCACAGTACAGTGGCTTTGAACCACGTCCTCGGACCCAGGGCATCTGTAGCTGGCAAAGTGATGAGTAAGAAGAGCAAGTTAATACATGTTATTTGGCGTAAGAAGTTTCTGAAGGTTCAGTATTTTCAACTGCTCACACAAATTAAAGGAGGTAGGAAAACAACATGGTAAGAGGGCATCACCGAGGAAGAAACAACACAAGGAACAGCCTGAAATCTTCTGAGAGCATCCATGCTGCCTTGAGGAAACTGTGCAAAAAGCAGCTGACATAATAAAAGTCAACAGTGACCTTTGCTGAGCTTTCATTAAGGACAAAGAAATCATCAGTATCAATAAAACGTTGTTTTGAAGCTGGGCTGCAAAGCAGCCTGTGTCACCACGGGCTCTCAGTATATATACAGCAAGGAGGACAGAGTAACAGGGTTCATCTGTTAAATATAAACAAGCATAAAACCAAAACAAATTGGCACAATTCAGTCAATATAAAAGAAGTGAAATGAACCTCCCTTTCCCTAAATTCCACATAAAAGCACATTTATTCCAAAGAGAGCACAAAGCACAAACATAACCAACAAGTTCTTCTTTGCCATCACCAAAAAAATCGTATTTTCATCTCTCTTTCTGGCAACTACCACTTTTATCCTGAATATTTAATGAGGCAAGACTCTTTCCAGCCTATTAACAGTAATGGTCCCAGCACTGGTTACAGACTCCTCCACCCCTTAAAACCTTTCTCTTCCAACCTCCCATGTTCCCTGATAGTTTCAGTAAAAGTCCCTTTTATCTAGCCCATTTATGTTACACAGCTGTTGAACACACCAGTGCTAGGAAATCTAAATAAAACTAGCATGGTTGAGGCTTCTTTTCCCTCTCCTAAAAGCAAAAAGCTCAATGTGCAAAGGTAGCCCCAAATCACTGTAAATGTGCAAGCAGTTGAACACTGTAAGCAACTGATTTATG